ACTAGTAAACATAGTTTTTACGGAAGGAAGCTATCCCAACAAAAGAAACTGGTAGGTTTGACCCTGAGATGCATTTATATATTTTAAAATGTGGTGATAAACATTAACATGACAAAATAATGATTTATGTTCGCATGCTAAAGGTCATAGAATATGTGTTACATATAGGGTCTATGATATAGCATTTCTAGTAGGAACTTGAGATACTGTTTCATATGATTAGTAATAAATCATCAGTTGGGATCTGCTTCAATTGAAAATATAAAATTAGGTGATACTGAATACACATCCTTATCCTAAGCCTGAATAAAAAGACTTACAACTCCATTACAGGGCTGTTATTAAGTGGAGTGTGCGACTGCCACATGATTGCAGGGGCCGACATATCCCGGCGCTTTAGGCTCCTTCGTGCCCAACAGTTGGAGATGTTCAATTTATGGTCTATTGTAAGAATCATCGCTTTTGTCACTTGTCCTTGTGTAAGACTAGGCCCAGCAGCTGGAACTATTGAAGGGTGAACCCCTACCAGTGTGAATAAGAATTTATAGTTTGTCATGTCCATTTAACTTTTTCCCCAGAATGAACATAATTTGACCTTTTCATACCAATATTTTAAGATGCATCTAACAATGCTGGTGCTATAGAACTTTTTGGGAAAAAATGTAATCTTACAATCATTGGCACAATGCCAGATTGGCCATCGTTCATTACAACCATTTTATATTTTGGCCACTTTATTTTATGGTATAATAATAATAATAATAATAATAATAGTAATGATAGTAATAATAATAATAAAATAATAATAATACCAGAACTTTTTTTTTAATTCAGCATGTGTTAAATGCTTGTTGTGCAGTGCTAACCATCTATTTGAATCTACGAACAACTCTGTCGTCTTCCTTATATGAAATCTAAGAAACCGCCTGCATGCGATACATCAGTAAAAAATACCATAAAACTATTTAGATACTTTAGTGAGAATGAGGAACCGCATGACGGAATCTATAAAATTATGAAATTAATATTTGAACCATAAATATTAGAAAATAGCAGCTGAGTGCATACCGACTGTAACCATTACTTTTTTATGTTATTATTTCTGATCGGCCCTAGACAATGAGACTGAAATGAAATCAACTAATTCCTGTAATCATATTACCATTGGGAATTTTTTTTATAATACATCCATATAAGCTGTTGTGTTACATCTTTTATGTCTGAGGTACAGAAATAATTCTAAACCGTCATAAATGTTAGATTGCAACCAGAAACATATTTATCATTGATGGAACAGATAGTTTAATTTCAGAAGAGAAGATTTGTCAATCCAAAAAATGTTCAGGAACAATTTAATACTATCAATATTATGATGGCATTTGTCAAATTCTTCATGCAGACTATTGAATTCATACTAATTGTAATTTCAATGCAACTTGCCTTTATTTTTTCTTTCATCTTTCATTTTTTATCCATACTGAAACATACAACTCGTTTAACTCAATACTTTCTGTAGCTTCTCACTTTAATAAGTTCAATAATTAGCCTAATGTTTGCTATCATTAAAACTCAGGATGAACTGTGCCCTTGTTTCTGAATTTCTGCCAAAAGGATTTCTTTAAACTGGCTGTTAAGATTGCATTATTTCTGGTCTCTAGTGGACAGTTTTTGATGGCTTTAATATCCGAACTACAATAACATCTTCTAACTTTAAAATGAGTTTTGATACAATATAACATTATAATCTTAGACTCTGTGAAGCATGAATTGAGTTGGTATAGGCTGGTAGATTGTTCAGCTGCTGGTTAAGTATTATTTAGTAAAAACAACAGGTGTTATACTCCTGTATTGGACATATCCCTCCTCTGGAGAATTCCAAAATAACATGGCTCATAATACGGAGCAGGAAAAGGAGGCCATGCAAGCATTATACTAACTTTGTCCATCATCCTTACGGGAAGGTTTGCTAGATTGCAGCGAAAATTTTCAGTATGAAATAACTTTGCACAGATGAATAGTCATATATTTAGAAGGTAGACAAACTTTAAGTGTGACCGGTACACACCAGGTTAAAGCCTCCACCAGCAACAAGTAAGGCAAGCTGTGAAAGTTAACCAGGCCGCAACCAGATTATAGATGCCTTCCCCAAGGCAAGATTAGTAAGAAAATTACATTTTCGTGAATTTTTATATTTTACACTTAATGTAAAAAATGAGAAAATATTTGCAATTATTCAAGTCTCTTGTGGGTGGAATGCATTTGTTGATCCCTCCAACTCTCTCAACAGCCAACTGAATTGTATCTTTTCATCGTATCATTGTATAATCTTTAACCTGATGATGAATTGGGATTTCATATGCAGTTTATGGTCCTGCTTTCATAAAAATTCAAGAGAGTTCTATATGTCTATCACTTTTTTTATATTTATTTCTTGCCAACTATGTTCTGATTATGAATAATTTTAATGTTGTTTCAGCACCTTAGTCTTATTAATAGAGGTAGGTCTGTGAAGGAAAAAAATCTGCAAAAATCCAATACAGTATGTTAGTTTTGTGAAGTTGTTCCACTTTATCTTTCTTTCCGGCAGAAGTAGAATCATCCGATTTGGATTTTAATTCTGCATCGTTGTCCGACAGCCATAGCAAGCTTGATCCCAGAGCTTCCCTCCTCATGTAGATCTACTTACATTTGCCTTTAAATTGTCGGTTTACAATATACCAGCAACCGTCTTTAGTGTGGCTAATCACATAGGATGTAAAATCAAGTTGTTTTTCCTGTAAAGGTTTACTCCTCATATTTGTTATGACCACTTTGTAGAGTCAAGGTTAAGGTTTAAAAAAAAATAAAAATAAACATTTATAAATGCAACTGAAGTGTAAAAAAAAAAAATAAAGTTATTTTGCATCAGCTAGGCCTAAGACAATTCGCATATTGTACAACTTTAATTGCGTCCCACTAGTGGCTGTAGCTGGCGACTATTTTCTGGAACCCTCGGGTCAAGTAGGCAGGCCTACAGTACCTTTGGGGATTTTAGTTACTTCTGTGATTATTATTTAGTATTTACCTATTTGACGCTTATCATGATATACAATGGGGAAAAGAAGCTAGGGGGAATTATGGTAATCTGATCTGAGAACAAAGAACAATGTTATTAATATTATTATATTTCGAATGCACTTTGTCTATTTAAATCCATTCACTGCAGATTTAATTTTGTAGCATAATTTTTGTTCCAAATAAAAATTACATTTTGGGAATTATTCCAGACATTTTAGGCGATTTGTGTTATCCGTCGATCTTTATGAATTGGGCTTCCTCAAAGGCATATATTATTAGAATGCTTTTTCATTATAATATCAAAATACAGTAAGTATTACCAACACTTGTTGATAAAATTACCAGTAAGTTTTATTGACCTAAATACAGAGAAGCATGCCCTAAATATTATTACTGTATATACACCCGATATTCAACCTCCGGCCCGCCAAAGATCCGGCCTGCACAACATGGCTAAAAATAAATCATTTTTCGGCCGATATTTAGAAAAACTTTTCTGTTTACAGAAACACCACCTAGGTGCCCCTACTCTGTGGCTTTTTAGAAGAATCTGGAATGCAATTTTTTTTGTTTTTTTTTTTCTAAAATAAAATGAAGAAGAAAATAAAATCACATTCAAATTGAAGTCTGAGAATATCATTTCTGACCATCTAGAGGTGCCATAATAATAAATTTTCTTACCTCAGCCCCAACCATGGTGGGGCCGAGGTTGTATTTTCCCCCTATCTGTGAAAGTTCTTCCCTGACCCTTTCTATTTTGAATCCACCGCTATAAAAGAAATTGGGTGGGGCTAACATAGAAAAAATTGAAATACACAATTTATGTTGGCCCAACGCTGGTCTCCACAAGTTGGAACTGGCCCCCAGCTTAAAAAGGTTAAATACCTGGGGTATATACTATACCATATTTCCTACGGTATATACAGATAAGCCCAAACTCTACTTTACTCTGGTAAGACTTTTACAATATTCTCAGAAAAAAAAAGTATTTGGCTTTGAATTAGGCATAAAGTGCTGAAAAATTGCCATTTGATTAAAAACTAAAGTCCCAATGGATAAGCAAACCTCAAAAAATTGGCCCTATTCTGTGTTTCAAATGGGATGGCTTACAATACACCAGAGAATCTCTATGTAATATAAAAAATAGATACAAAGATATCATAATGAATTGGCATTGCTTGCCAAATGGTTATTATTAATATTAATTTATTAAAATCATCAGTATTGCTAGTTAATAATTTTTATCGGAACTAACATTGTTATGAAAACGATAATCGCATAATCTTCCTAAGACTAGGAAATATGAAAATAATTGTGATGCTTAGAGGAGGGACCTCGGACTTAAGATGACCTTACTGTGACCTGATTAATTCTCCTCTTGCTGTCTTTATTATTGAATACCTACTTGTAAGTGGCATACTGCATCTTACTGACCTTTTCACTGTATGATTGAAATTTATATCTTTAGGTAGCATACTGGTCATTCTAAACCCAGGTATAATATGCTGTATTGATCTCATCATTGCCTTTATATTAGTAGAGTAGCCAGTAGCCCTTTATAAGAATAGTTCTCTGACCATCAATACTATTTTTGCTATGTAGTAAATGGAAAGGCCACTCACAAAACATATATTAAAATATTTTCTGGAAAATTTATTTAATTTAAAACCTAAACATATTTGATTGGTGATCTTTAAACTGACCTGGCTGACTCATGATGAAAAATTGTTAACCAACTTAAATTTATTTAATAAGTTAATAAAGACGCATTTTCTCCAAAGAATAATATTGTATAATTTAAAAGTACATAAATAAATATATTAAATTTAGTGTGGAGAAACCCTCCATATTTTCATACATGAAGTGAACGGTAAATGATTTTCAATAAAGCTACCTCCCCTGGTAAGCCGTGGAATGTGACTGTTTAGAATTGATCCCTTAAGATGGTTCACACATTCATTGCTACTATCTTCCATGACCTTAGCGAGTATTGGGATATGACTGATGGATCAGAGCACAGAGGTATAAATAATTATACATCCATGGTTTGAGGTGGTACAACTCTACCATTAACACTCCCTGCCCTCTGATGTCTGGTGATAAATTAAAATGAATGATGAATTTATATCAGGGAAGACATAAATTGTCAAATTAATCACAGAATCTCTCTACTCATCTTCATTTCAAGACGATGAGGGCAAAGGTCAAGCTTGATTGCTGCTGCATATCTTTGTCATGTTAAAGTATTTACTAACTACTGTGGCTGATTTTAAGTGTCTCTGTAAAGTACAGTACAAGTGTAATGTACTAGTACAATTATAACACAAGAATATATTTAATTCTAATCTGTAGTATAATGTCATCTGTTTCATTTAATTCTTTTCAGCAAAGTTGGAAAAGTGCATGACTGCCCGACCGGCGGTTGGAGACAACATAATGTCCCGGAGGCATTTTGGGGGGGAAAAAATTCTAAAAATAGACTGTTGTGGTATAATAGTGTACAGATAACATTTGGTGCTGGAGACATTTTATTGAGACAACTTTAATGGTTGGAGGCACAAACATGTTTTTTTCCAGGCCTGCTTTTCAGTACTCTTTCAAATGGGCATTGGAAGATTATACAACTAAACTAGATAATATTAATTATTTTGTATATTAGTATTTGTATTTATATAAACTGCCCACATGTATCTCTTGTTTCATCTAATAATAGGCAGTTGGATCATTTGCAAATATTTACTTGAAGAAGAAAAGTATACGATTAAGGTTGAAGAATCCAGCATAATATATATATATATATATATATATATATA